TGACTGGTACGTCCTTGTACATAAATGGCATTCATTGTTTGTTAAATTAAAAAGTTTTAACTAAAACAATGTACCATAAGCCAATAGAAGAAATGACAAAGGATATGAATACTTAGTTCATTTAAAAAAATGATCATTTTTTTCTAATGATAAGAGACATAGAAGTTAAAATTAAACTGAGATCCTCTATTTTAATACCTATCAGTTTGGTAAAAATTCAGGCATTGCAAGCTTACTATGTAGACAAGGGCTTGTTGAAATAGGCACTCTCCTGCATTGCTGAGTGCGCTCTTTGGCTGAATAAATCAGGATTTGAAGTGAATATATACTTTGACCTTGTACTTCAGTGAAGTTATTCTATAAATATGCCCCTTCATGTGTGAAATAACCTCACTGCAGTGAGGTTTGAAATGGCAAAAAGTTGGAAGCAAGTTTGGTGTCCATCACTAGGGGGATTGGCCTAGTAAATTACGATATCTTCATGCACTGGCTGTGCAGCTGATTAAAAGCAATTTTTTTAAGAGAATAAGGATATTCTTTACTGACATGTAGAAAACTTTCTAAGATACAGTTTAAAAAAGAAAGCATAGTATAGGACAGTGCATTTCTTGTGCTACCATTTCTGTGGACAAGGGGAATGAGAATATGTATTTGTATTTGCTCGTGTATGAATAAGGAAACTTTGAAAGGATTTGCCGAGAACAGTGACCAGTGGTAACCTGGGGGGTTAGGAAACTGAGAGTTAAGTGGGAGGTTTTTTACTGTATGCTTTTTTATACTTCTTGAGTTTAGAATCAAATGTGTATTTTGCCTCTTTAAGTAAATAAATTGTATTTTTTAAAAAGACATAAATTATATAGTTAATTTTTAAAGTAGTGTCCAAAGTATTATGTGATACAGTACTCTAGTATCCTGTATCAGCTCTGAGGGCAGGGCAGGGTGGGGTCACTAATGTTCACTATAAACCAGACTGTCCAGTCGAGTACCCTTAACAAGCATGTTATGATTGCCTCTTTCATGCTAGGTTCACCCAGTGAAACAGCTCACATAGCCTTATAGGAGAGCTGTGGTGCCATAGAAAGAACGGTTTTGAAGTGAGAGATTTGAATTTGATTTTCCTACCCCTGCTGTTTTCTGACTATGAAATTTTGGATCGATTACTTTACTGTTCATCTACCAAAACCTCCCAACAATATAAAGATAAACAAGATGAAGTGAGAGTGCTTTTAAATTATAAGTACTTTATATAAATCATATAATACTAAATTATATAAATGCTTTGTAAATACTATATTAAGAGAGCTGTTATTACTTGCATCTAGTTTATACTAAACATTAATCGGCCTAAGTTGGCCGTAATTGTATTGCGGAATATCAGCCACAACTGCAACATTCTTAGCATGTGGCACAGTCCCCTCCTTCTAAGAGAGTTGTAGTGTGAATTCCCTCAGCCCTCCTGCTTCTCAGCTATCTACCCCACTCTGCCCCTGTTGTCCAGATCCCCCCTTCCTCATAACGCTTTCTTTCCTACTGAACTTCAGTGACTTGTCTTTAGCAAAAATTATCTTTCTTGGTAAGCGGTATATATTTTTCTGTCTTTTGTACTTTGCAATTGTTTCCTTTCCGCTCTGGTAGGCCTGGAGTCTTCATAAATGTTTCCTCTGTGAGGTCAAACGAGGCAGAGAGCACCAGTGCCTTTGTAAGGCCAGCTTTTCTCTCTCCTTCTGTTCCCCATCATTTATCCCCTACCCTGCTTCATTAGTTATCATCTCTGTGTTTTGTATCGTCATCATTTTCCTCTAATCCTAACTCTATACTTTGACCTGACAAGTATGCTCAAGTCTCCGACATCCCTAAAATAACTTTTTAAAATTTGAATCTCCTCTTTTGTCCATTTTTGTTCTTTTTTGGCTTCAAGGAATAATTGCCTTTGATTTCTCAGTTTTCATTCATTTCCAAGTCCATTACAATTTACAGATAACCTGCTGCTTAAGCTTAGGAGTTATTCACACTTCTCTCCTTGGTGGTCATCTCACTTTGTATTTTTCCTTCCATAGCTGTTGTGTTACATTAATGACCAACACATCCTTCTATACTTTCTCCCTGAGGTTTCATCCACTTTCATAGCTGTAGAAACTAATGGCTTCCTCCGGCCCTTTTCTGAGCTTGAACTGCATCTGTCTAAATTCTCTCTCTTGACCTAACTAAAATCTCTCTCCGCTCCTCTAACCTGCTTACCTTCTTGTGCTCCCTGTGTCCATCAGTGCTATCACCACCTTCCTGGTCCCTTAAGCCAAAACCTCCAGAGTCTTCATTGACTCCTTCCTGACCATTCGCATGTAATTTGCCACAAAGCTCTGTCATTCGCTTCTGAAGTATTTTTCTCACACCTCTCCTGTTTTCCATCACCACTTAATCAAGTTTGGTAAAAACGAAACATAATCTGATGTGTCACTTCCTCAACCTTAGCAATTCTTAGGACTTTTTTTGTTGCCTACAGGACAAAGTCTGAAGTCCCTGACATGGCAAACAAGGTTCTTTACAACCTGTTCCTAACCTTCCTTTTCCTGCCACCAGCCCTGACCGCCCTGTTCTCAGCCACCTCAGGAGTACTCACAGGTTTTCTGCATAGGCCTGTGGCCCAGTTGACGTTGTCTCTGTGGAGCCCATTAACCTTCCATTCTTGAAGGTTCTATTCAAGAATTGTATCTTTCATGTTGTCTTTCTTTTTTACTTTAAATTTTTATTGACATATAGTTGATTTACAATGTTGTGTTAATTTCAAGTGTATAGCAAAGTGATTCAGTTACACACATATACATATATGTATTTTTTATTTTTCATATTATTTCCCTTGTGGTTTATTACAGGATATTGAATATGGTTCCCTGTCCTATACAGTAGGACCTTTTATTTTATTCTATCTTATATGTAGTAGTCTGTTATTTGCTAATCCCAAACTCCTAGTTTATCCATTCTCTACCCTCTTTCCCCTTTGGTAACCATAACTTTGTTTTCTATGTGAGTTTGTTTCTATTTTATAAATAAGTTCATTTGTTATCATTTTAGATTCCAAATATAAGTGATATCATATATTTGTCTTTCTCTGATTTACTTCACTTAGTGTGATAATCTCTAGGTCCATGTAGCTGCAGATGGCATTATTTTGTTATTTTTTTTTATGGCCAAGTAATATTTCAGTGTGTGTGTGTGTGTGTGTGTGTGTGCCACATCTTCATCCATTCATTTGTTGATAGACATTTAGGTTGCATCCATGTCTTGGTTATTGTAAATAGTGCTGCTGTGAATATTAGGATGCATGTTATCTTTTTGAATTAGAGTTTTATGCCCAGGAGTGCAGTTGCTAGATCATTTGGCAACTCTGTTTTTAGTTTTTCAAGGAACCTCCATATAGTTTTCCATAGTGGCTGCATCAGTTTACATTCCCACCATATGTTACCTTTCTTGATCACAAAAAATTAGTTCTGTAGCACTTTGTTCATATTTCTAGTATTTCTCTAATATTAAAACTATTTTATGAGCTTCTAAGGACAGCATCTAGGTCTTTTTAATTTTTAATTTCTGCTGTAGTGTTACAGCAGAGTAACTGAAATACAGAATTCTTATAATTATTTTTGGAATGAATAAATTGAAAGTCACAGAAAAAGAAAGCCTACAGTAAGTCTGCAGAGCAGTCATGTTGTCTTGTGAATGACAGATTGAGAGGAGGTTAAGAGCTTGATTTCTGCAGTTAGGCACACCTGGCTTCAAGCCCTCTCTATAACACAAGCTGTGGCTGTTTCCTTGCCTGGAAAGTGGTGATGGTAGGGTGGTTGTGAGAGTTAAATGTCAAAGTACACATCAGGAATTCCCTGGTGGTCTAGTGGTTAGGATGCAGGGCTTTTGCTGTTTATGGCACAGGTTCAATCCCTGGTTGGGGTACTAAGATCACACAAGCCTTGACGTGGAGCCAAAAAAAAAGGCACGTATTACAATCCCTAGTACTGCTGTTCTCAAGCCTGTAATGTACTTGGTTAAACTCTATAGTCAAAAATGAGATACAAGGTACAAGGTGTGTCTTCCTATGAGCTTCCTGTCTTAACCAAGCTGATTATCTCTCGTCAGCAGCAGTGACTATCAGTCTACTTTCATATCCTGTTTTATTTACTTCTCTGTTATTTTTCTCCTACTTTCTATAATTTTTATTTTGTTGTTGTTAATGCTCTTGAGATTCGGTCTTCCCTTTACAAAAACTGAACTTTAGATATAATAATATCAAAAAGGAAATTGAACTTGAATAGGCAAGGATAGACCCAGGATAAGGATAATGGTAAAACAGTGATGTTCAGAACTAGAGAAAAATGGAATCTGCTTTCATTCCTTCATTCTTGTATTTATTGTTCCCTTCCTCCGTATAGGTGGGAATGGGTTTGGAGAGCATCAGAATTAAGGCCTAGTTTCTTTCTGTAATGGTTTTTTTTTTAATTGAATACTGTTTTGAGATAACGGTAGATGGTAAGAAATAATACTGAGAGATCCCCTGTATGTCACTACAAAGATTTCTAAGTCTCATTAATAATGAAGGTGAGCTAGTTCCTTGTATAAATGATAGGAAACTACAGGTGAAAAAGCATGTCATGATTTTTAAAAAGGTGAGAGTACTCTGCTTGGAGCCACAGCAAATAAAGAAGGCTTCATGCAGATGTCATTTTTTAAGTCAGAAATTCCGAAGAATGAGTACAGTTGTATTAGAGTTAGAAAGAGCCGGGTGAGAAGGGGGACCTGGGTTCCTCCAGTGGACAGTGGTAAATAATCCCAACTTTTAGGCTGGGTACTACTTGTAAATTGATTCTCTCTTGCTTTAAGTTTTTGGAAACTCACGTAGTAATGGGCCTGTTGTTACCCTGGGATCTAATCATTGCATTTTCTGTTTTTGATATAGAACACTTTGATTCTCCTGGGAGTCTGACTTACTGAAAAATCTCTTCCTGTGATTTTAGAATGACGGTAGAGAGCGGCATGAGCATGGCTCGGAGAGGCGGCGGCGCGGCAACACCGAGTCGGTGTCCAATGGCCGAGCCCCCAACAGCTCACAGCAGGTGGTGGAGCAAGAGGAAGAGGAAGATGAGGAGCTGACGTTGAAATACGGCGCCAAACATGTGATCATGCTGTTTGTCCCTGTGACTCTCTGTATGGTGGTGGTTGTGGCCACCATCAAATCCGTCAGCTTTTACACCCGGAAGGATGGGCAGCTGTACGTATGAGTGCTGTGGGTGGTTATTCTCAAGGTTATTCTAGCTGTCTTGCGTGGTGTGTCACCCTCACCTTGAAGACCTCTGACCCCTGCACTGAAGCGCCGTGAAAGCTAGAGAGTCCATCCTCTCTGGTGACTGGAAGAAGATGGTGCTTTATGTAGAGAAAATAAAGCCGCAGAGTTATATTTTTTATGTAGCATCTCTATATTGGGCTCAATTTACTTGGAATTGAGCAAGTAAAGAATTGAGTAGTGATTTTAGCACCTCAGGGTCATTGGGCCCATTGTTCTTCTCCCTGAAATGTTGTTTTCCTTTTCTAACTTTGGTGGATTAATTCCTATCATCCTTCTCATCTTGGCTGAAAAATAACTTCTGTGATCCTCCTAAAAGAATTAGGCCCTTCCCGGTATTCTTTCGCAACCTGTTCTTTTTTCACTTGTCACAATATGCAAGTGTATATTTACTTTCCTTATTTAATGCCTGGTTTCCTTCTATACCACAAGGACTATGAGAGCACTTTTGTTTCCAGGGTGAGAAATGTTGTTCAGTGAAAGGATGAAGAAGGAATGCAAACTGACACTAAAGTATTTGCCGAACTGTCATGTAGATTGGGTGCTCTTGGTGTCCACCCTTTGTCTCCAAGAGAAATGCTTTGATTCAGATGTCACCTAGTTCTGTCTCTGGGACCCTTGTTGGGCTCAAGATGTTTTAAGTGAATTCTGAAATTGGCAAGTGTCTGGAAAACTCTGGGGTTCTGAAAGCCAAGCTTTAACTTTTTGAGAGAAAGTCTAAGACAATGAGTGAAGAGCAGGGGTTGGAGACAATTAACAAAAGAAGTTGGGGAATATTGTCTCTGTAAGTTAAAGTTAGGTCTGGCTGCATATTATAGAACCAGGTTAGCAAGCTATGCCCCACAGGCCATATCTGCCGGCTGCCTCCCTTGGTAAATGAAGTTTTATTGGAACATGGCCGTGTCCATTCATTTATGTGCTGTCTTCCGCTGCTTTCATACTACAGGGGCAGAGCTGAATGGCTGCAGCAGAGACCATGACTGACAAAGCTTAAAATATTTACTCTGTAGTCCTTTATAGAAAGTTTGCTGAGCCCATTATAGAAAATCAAAACAGGGAATTCCCTGGCGGTCCAGTGGTTAAGACTCGACACTTTCAGTGCTGAGGCCCAGGTTCAATCCCTGGTCAGGGAACTAAGATCCTGCAAGCCGAATGGCATAGCCAAAAAAAAGAAAAAATTTTTAAAATTGATTTTGAGTGATATACATATTTTCTTATCTCCCACAGAATAGTGAAGAGGTAGTAGTCAGATTGTACAGTGCTTTCTTTTCACCAAGGACTCAGGCTTCTTCATTCCTTCTTTTTTGGCTTCTGTTGTCTAGGTTATTTTGGGGCCCAGTATTGGTGCTGGAGCTCCAGCCTTCATTCAGACAGCAGGAAGGAGTGGAGGAGAAAAGGACATAAGACATACCTCTCAGCAGAACTCACTCCTCCTTTAGAAGTTCCACAGACCACATCTGCTTATAACTCAGTGGTCATTACTTATTCTCGTGGCTGTACGTAACTCCAGGGGATGCAGAAATAAAAGTCTTCTGTTGACAACCATTGGTACCTGGAATAAAAGCGTTTTCATGTGAAATAAGGGTAGATGGATATGTGACATTATCTCAAGACAACTTTAGTTGTAGTCACCCTACAGATACAAGATAATTATCCACCATTTTACCTTCCTCTTCAAACCACTTGTAGCCTTGGTAGTTTATGGCAGAATCTGTTGGTAGTTTATGGCAGAATCTGGTGGTACTTTAACAAATCACTGATAAGCTGTGGAGAAAACATTTGATGAGGTAATTATTTCAGTATAAAGCGTCCACTAGATGGAGCCACTGTCTGGCGCACGTAGGTCCACCTCTATTTTAACCATCTCCTTTTATTTTGAAGAGCTTATTTTAGCATAAAGCTGCTTTTCTTAGGTTAAAAATTCTTGGTTAGATTGATGAGCTGAAAAAAAAGTGATTCATAAGATATCAGTTAAATCTGGGAAACAGAACTGGTTTTGGAGAGCATGTAGTTTAGAATCTCCATTAATCGCTGGGGCTTTTGTTTCGTTACAGAATCTACACTCCGTTTACAGAAGACACGGAGACTGTGGGGCAGAGAGCCCTGCACTCAATCCTGAACGCGGTGATCATGATCAGCGTCATTGTCGTCATGACGATTCTCCTGGTGGTTCTCTATAAATACAGGTGCTACAAGGTGAGCATGAGACACTGAGCTCTGCATTCCACCATCTTTTTCTTATTTTTTTCCTAATGATTTTATTTAGTTTTGGCTGTGCTGGGTCTTTGTTGTTGCGTGGGCTTTTCTCAAGTTGAGGCGAGCAGGAGCTACTCTAGTTGCAGTGCTCGGGCTTCTCTTTGCGGCAGCTTCTCTGGCTGGGGAGTGTGGGCTCTAGGGCATACGGGCTCTAGTAGTTGCGGATCCCAGGCTCCAGAGCACAGACTCCAATAGTTGTGGCACACGGGCTTGATTGCTTCACAACCTGTAGGCTCTTCCTAGATCAGGGATTGAACCTATGTCTCCTGCATTGGTAGGTGAATTCTACCACTGCGTCACCAGGGAAGCCCTGCACCATCTTCTTTTTTTTTGTGGTTGGATTGTCCTGTCACCTTATTCAGTCTAATAAAAAAAAATGTCTTATATTCTAAAACTAAGTTAATTTTTAGTCTCCTCCCCCTCTCATTTGTGGAACAGAAAGGCATAAATGAGAAACAAATGTTTTCATAAAATATCACAGTCTAAATGGTTTTAACATTTTGATTTGCAGTATTCTTAGGCCCTTCCAGAAGAATATATCCTAAGACCTTTGTGAATTCCCTCATTGACAAATAGCACTATATGATATAATTGTCCCCATAAAATAATATATAACCACAGAAAATTAGATTTTCAGCTTGAATGCGTGCGTGCTCAGTTGCTCAGTCGTGTCCGACTCTTTGTGACCCATGGAATGTAGCCCACCAGGCTTCTCTGTCCATGAGATTATCCGAGCAAGAATACTGGAGTGCATTGCAATTTCCTTCTCCAGGGAATCTTCCCTACTCAGGGGTTGAATTTGAGCCTCCTGAGACTGCTGCATTGGCAGATGGGTTATTTAGCACTGAGCCACCGAGGAAGCCCCTTCAACTTGAGTCCAAAGCAGTGAAGCCACCTTCAGATGCCGATGTTGAACTCATTGGTGACTGGCTGAATTCCCGTCCATTCCCTCACCTTCTCTTCTGCAGGAATAGGAATTTTTTGCTTGGGAAATAAAAGCAGGGGCGGTTATGCAGGGAAGAGACCGGCCCATACCTCCCAGCCTCTGCTCCCTACCTCACGCTACCTAAGTAACTTGCCTGTGAATTTCAGCTGTCTGGCACATGTTTCAGATTCATGCCTCAGAAAAATGACAAATTATTACAGTTCATGAACCTTTAGGCTCATTCTCAAATAAATAAATATTAACTTTTCAAATGTTGAATTCTATACTCTCTTTACTTTGTATTTTCTCTACTTCAGTATATCCTTTTTTTTTCCAGTATATTCTTTAACATGGTTAAAATCAAATATATAATCAGTATGTGTCCTTTTTAAAAACTATTAATTTGGCATGAGCATTTTCCCATATTATAAATTCTTAGAAAATATGTGTAATGACTACATAATATTTGACTCAATGAGTGTATTGTCATTTACTTCCCCTAATTGGACATTTGAGTGCTTTCCCGATTTTCACTATCCTAAAAAACAGTGAATGTCTTTACGCATAGAGCTTTTCAGTGTTTCAAATTATTTCCTTAGGGTATAAGCCCAAGCACAGAATTTCTGGAGCAAATTGTCTACATGTTTTTGGCTGTCTTGGTATGCAGAATTTTGTTTTCAAATTGATAGTGTTCCTTTGTCCTTAACATTAGTGGTGAGTGAGGCTGTCTTACTCTACTTTCACCAGCACTGAATTTTTAAAAATACCTGTGCAGAGAATTCCCTGGCAGTCCAATGGTTAGGACGCTACACTTCCACTGCAGGGGGCATGGGTTCAATCCCTGGTCACGGAACTAAAATCTCATATGCTGTACAGTGTGGTTAAAAATACATATATATGTGTGTTTATATATAAACACATATATAAACACACACACACATATATATATAAACATATATAAACACACACATATATATATAAAATCTATTCTAACCCTAATAGGCAAAGCAAAAATGTCTTAATTTGCTTTTAGTTGATTGATTATTAGTGAAATTGAATATCCTTTCACTATTCACCTTTTCATTGTTCACAGACTTCTAAAATTATACAGAGTGTAACCTTGTTTGTTCAGTGGGTGGAAGTATTAACCTAAGTGATGACCATTTGCAGTCTGACATCACAATCTGGAAATTGAAGACAAAAGATGTGATGTGACAGGCAGTCATCTACACTCAGGCACCCAAAGAGCAAATGATGTAAAACCATTCCCCTCCCACTGCTTAAACGTGCTCATGTCTCAGTTACTTTTATCTTTTTTTCCCCACTATATACAATTTTGTGTACACAGACGTGTTTACCTACCAGTTCCATTTCTCTGCTTTATTGGACTCTCTCTGTGACTTGTATCTGGATTGTGTGCTACTTTTGTTATTCACATGTTAGTGGGAGTCCCCTAGGGATTTGCATTCTTCTTTGGTGTTTGGAAACCTCTTTCTGCTCCTCCAGGAGGAACTTAGAGGGCTTCTCCTCTTTCTAAAGCCCACTTAGGTTGTGTTGAGTTCAAGTGGAGGAGGGTAGTACTGGAGGGGAAAGGTGGTAAACTTACCCCTGGCTTCCTGGTACTTCTGATTCCCCAGCCTATGTACTGGCAGCTGCATGCATTCGGTCCAGATTTTATAGGTGTATTTGGTAGGAGAGACAGGATGGAATGGGCTTTTACTCCTTATTAACTAGAGCCTATCTCAAGGTATTTTTGGTGGTTTTGTGCATCTTTTAGTTAGTGCTTCGTGTTAGACAGTCTAAAGGTTTATACTTAGCTGGATTTCCACATTCACCCATTCACTGGTGTTGTTTTGCTTTGCTTTTTAAATGCTTAATGTCTTGGCCAGCCCAACCAATTCTATAGCAACAAGTTGTTTACTTTGACTCTTAGTATAAAAATAAAAGGGGCTTTTGAGTCAGAAATTCAGAAACTTGCCAGGACCTGTTTGGAAATAAGCCCTGAGGATTTGTTGTGTCAGGAGTTGGTTGTGCAATGTCTTTGAGAAGCACAGGAAGCTAAAAGACCAAACAAAGCTTAAAAAGGAAGAATTGGAAAAGACAGTTTAATTATTTATTGTTTGATATAGATGAAACCATATAGCTCACTGAAGTCACATGATTTCTGGCCTAGATAGTTCAGTGTTTAGAGGAGATCTTTGCCATGCTGTACTGAATCAGGACTCATTTGTTTCAGAGCCTGTAGCTCTGAAACAGGAAAGCTGAGCTAGGGATTTTTGCAACATGAGAAAGGCCTGTTTTACCACCTGATGTTCTAGGAAAAGGGGAGGTGTAGCTTAGTCATCAGAAGAGGCTTTGAATTCAGGTAATAATTCAGAAAATCATAATATCCGTGATTAACCTAGTAAGAAAACCATTAAAAACATTATTGCAGGCAGAGGGCTAATATTTTTGCAATATGAAGAGCACTTACAAATAATTAAGGAAATTATGAATATCCTAATAAGATATTTTAAAAACCCAAGAAGAGAAATTATGAAGGAAATCTAGATGGCCAGGAGAGGAGTAGAGTATGGAGGGGTGTATGTATATTTCCTCACTAGCAAAAATTATATATATTAAAATAGCAAATTAACATATTTAGCTTATTGACTTGGTAAAAATTAGGCAGGACTTAATTTGCAGAGTCACTAAGCCAGTATATATCAGTGGTCAGTAATTAGAAAATGTCTATACACTTTGATTCTGTAATTTTGCTTTCATGATTTATCCTAGGGAATTAAAAATGCTGAAGAATGTTTGCATACTAGATATTAATCATAGCATAAAATATAATTGAAAAAAGAAGGAAAACCCCACAGATTCTGTGCATAAGGCAAAGGTTGAATTGTGAGCTCATGCATATAAGTAAACTATTATTGAGGCATTTAAAATCTATATATTCAAAAAAATATTTGGTGGAATCAGAATTTGTAACAAAAATAAAGTTTTAAAAGACAGAATGTAAACTCTTATATTACATGATTCTAATTTTTTTAAAGGTTTTTATATATGCAGACAAACATGTCTGAAAAGGAAAGGTTAATATAAACTTTGGTTCTCAGTGGTCAGTGGAAATTATTTTTTTCTTTTAGTGTTTCTATATTTTCTATATGTCATAAGTATATATTACTTTGTATTCACAAAAATACTGTTTTTTTAAAATAGCATTTCATGTTCCCTTGCCCCTTCCTGCATAAAACAAGAAAAAAAAAAACTTTCCTTAAGAAAGTTGAGGATTCCTGGTATGCAATATTTACTCTTGCCCTTAAGTTTACTATGGAATATCCATGTACATCTCCCACTCCTTGAAGTTTGTTGTTTTGTGTTATTTTATATGGGGCTTCCCTCGTGGCTCAGCGGTGAAGAATCTGCCTGCAATGTAGGAGGCCTGGGTTCGATCCCTGCGTCCAATCCCTGGGTTGGGAAGATCCCCTGGAGAAGGAAATGGCAACCCACTCTGGTATTCTTGCCTGGGCAGTTCCCTGGGCAGAGGAGCCTGGCAGGCTTCCAGTCCGTGAAACTTGGATTATTTCTAAAGCTGACTTGTGAGTACAGTGGGCTAGGATGCATATGGAAAGATTCCTTTTTGCTTAAGATTTATTGTTTTCTTTGGACATGAAATAAAGGACTCCCTTCAGAATATTTTGCTAAAGTTGAAGTACTTAGAGGGAAATGTACAGATGTCTTCAGTTTACTTTGATACATATTAAAATGGACTCATTGGGTGGAGAGATGGTTAGATATGTTAGAAAGCAAGTACAGCAAGTGTGAATGGTAGAATTTAGGTGGTATATGGGCAGTGCTTCACTGTGTGTTTGAAAATTTTTATAATAAAATGTTAGGGGAAGTTTTTGTGGAAGAACACCAGAAATTAAATTTATTATATTTGGATAGTAAATTTAGAATATTTAACTGTTGAAGGAATACCAACTTTCATGATGGAAAAACCACTCTTTTGACCTTTGCCCACGGTGTAACATTTTATAAAGTTGTTTTAAAGAAAGGCAGAGAGACTTTTTAAGAAATCTTTTCTTTCAAAGGTTTTAATAATCACATGTCACCTTGAATGATCCAAACAGAGCCAAAAGAGAAAATGAACATAGATTCTAATGTTAACTTTAGTAACAACTAGATTTTGATACCTTAGAGCTGTATAATTGGAACAACTGGATCTGTGAGCTGGGGGTGGAAGATTTTTTTCTTTTAAATGGAGACAAAATAATATTCTTGATTTGAAACTTATCTTTTTATTATTTTATTTTATTTTATTTATGGCTGTGCTGGGTCTTCATTGTTGTGTAGACTTTTCGTTAATTATGGTGAGCAGAGTCTATTTTTTAATTGCAGTGCACAGATTACTCATTTCACTGTGCTCAAGCTTCTCGTGGTGGTGGCTTCTCTTGTCTTGAAGCACAAGCCCAGACTTCAGGAATCGTGGCACGTGGGCTCAGTAGTTGCGGCTCCCAGGCTGCAGAGCAGTCACAGTTAGTTGTGTCGCAGGACCTTAGTTGTTCCAAGGCATGCAGGATCTTCCCGGACTGGGGATCAAACCTGTGTCTCTTGCGTTGACAGGCAGATTCTTTACCACCAAGCTGCCAGGGAAGCCCTGGAGCTTTCCTTTTTACTTCTTTAAGGTTTAATTTGATCCTTCTGGTTTAGAGATATGTTTGGAAAAGTTGGTGGTTAAGTAGCTTCTCCTGTCATAACAGTAAAATTCATGAAAGAATAAAGCTTATTGTGGGTGTATCTACCTTAAAATAATTTTACTTTTGGTTAAAAATTACTTGAAAGTTTATCATATTTCTCCATTCTATTTTTTAAAACTGCAGACTCCTTGGGTTATATAGTATTTTCCCAAATATCAGTTCAGTTCAGTTCAGTTGCTCAGTCGTGTCCGACTCTTTGCGACCCCATGAACCACAGCACGCCAGCCCTCCCTGTCCATCACCAACTCCCGGAGTCCGCCCAAACCCATGTCCATCGAGTCGGTGATGCCATCCAACCATCTCATCCTCTGTCGTCCCCTTCTCCTCCTGCCCTCAATCATTCTCAGCATCAGGGTCTTTTCAGATGAGTCAGCTCTTCGCATCAGGTGGCCAAAGTATTGGAGTTTCAGCATCAACATCAGTCCTTCCAGTGAACACCCAGGACTGATATCCTTTAGGATGGACTGGTTGGATCTCCTTGCAGTCCGAAGGACTCTCGAGAGTCTTTTTCCAACACCAGAGTTCAAAAGCATCAATTCTTCAGCACTCAGTTTTCTTTATAGTCCGACTCTTACATCCATACATGACCACTGGAAAAGCCATAGCCTTGACTAGATGGACCTTTGTTGGCAAAGTAATGTCTCTGCTTTTTAATATGCTGTCTAGGTTGGTCATAACTTTCCTTCCAAGGAGTAAGCATCTTTAATTTCATTGCAAATATAGTCATCACATAAAATTACCATAACTTTTTTTTATCTTGTATAATAGATTAATCAAGCTCTAGGGACTTTTCCTGGTGGTCCAGTGGTTAAGGCTTCGTGCTTCCACTGCATGGGGCATGGTTTCTATCCCTGGTTGGGGAACTAAGATCCTGCATGCTATATGTTCAGTTCAGTTCAGTCACTCAATCATGTGTGACTCTTTGTGACCCCATCAACTGCAGCACACCAGGCCTCCCTGTCCATCAGCAACTCCCGGAGCTTACTCAAACTCATGTCCATTGAGTCAGTGATGCCATCCAACCATCTCATCCTCTGTCATCCCCTTCTCCTCCTGCCTTCAATCTTTCCCAGCATCAGGGTCTTTTCAAATGAGTCAGTTCTTTGCATCAGGTGCCCAAAGTATGCTATATGGCTAGGCCCCAAAAAATAATTGATTAGAAATCAAGTTCTGATTCAATCTCTCATTTTAATATGCTTTACATGAGTTATAGGGACTAATATTTATATAGTGCTGTATAAATTCTGCATTATGATGATGGACTGACATATAAGCATTATTAATGAACCAAGTAAAATAAACATAGCATACTAATACTTACTGAAATCTCAGATACTGAATATTTTTTCTTCAAATGGTTATATAATTTAGAAGGCCTGTTTTCTCTGTACAGTTAATGTATGTGTACACTGGTCCCTTAACTGAATTTCTGATTTTCAGTTTTGTGACTTTGATTTATCAGTTATTTTATTTTATCAGTTTATTATCAGTTATTTATCTATTAATTTTTTATTGTAGGAATACATCAGAATTCCTCTATTGAAAATATTGGTGCTTTAAAGTATAAATGTTAACTGTTGACTCTACCTTTTCTAATTGAAGTCTAGTTAATTTATAAAATACATTCTTGTTGCTTATCTGTTTTACACATAGTGGTTTGTATCTCTTAATCACATACCCCTAATCTATTTTTTTTCATTTTTATTAGAGTATAGTTGATTTACAGTGTTGCGTTAGTTTCAGGTGTAGAGGAAAATGAATCACGTGTGTATGTGTGTGTGTGTATCTGTTCACTCGCTGCTTTAGGCTTTTTCCCGTCTAGGCCGTAACAGAGTATTGCGTGGGGTTCCCTGTGCGGCCCAGCAGGTTCTTAGCAGCCGTCTGCTCTGTGTATGGTGGTGTGTGTGGCAGTCCCAGTCTCGCACTTCACCCACCCTGCCTTTATCCTCTGGTTATGATAAGTTTGTTTTCTACATCTGGGACTCTATTTCTGTTTTGTAAGTAAGTTCATTTGTAGTTCCCCTTGTTTTAGATTCCACATATAAGCAATATATGATATTTGTCTTTCTGTGTCAGACTTACTTCACTCAGTATAACAATCTCTAGGTCCATTCGTGTTGCTGCAATGACATTATTTGGTTCTTTTTATGGCTGAGTAGTATCCCAGTGTATATATGTACCACGTCTTCTTTATCCATTCCTCTGTTGATGGACATTTAGGATGCTTCCATGTCTTACCTATTGTAGATAGTCCTGCAGTGAACATTGGCATACTCCTAATTTGTACCCCCCACTTCTCATTCACCTTTGGTAATCACTGTTTTTTTTCCCTATATCTGTGTATCTATTTCTGTTTTGCATGTACATTATTTGTATTATTTTTTAGATTCCACTTATAAATGGTATCATACAATATTTGTCTTTCTCTGACTTATTTCATGAAGCCTGATATTCTCTAGGTCCAACCATGTTGCTGTAAGTGGCAGAATTTCATTCCTTCTTAAGGCTGAGTAGTATTCCAGTGTGTCTGTGTCTGTGTCTGTGTTTACGTGTACTACATCTTCTTTATCCATTTGTCTGCTGATGGGAAGTTGGGTTGCTTGCATATGTTGCCTGTTGTAAATAGTGCTGCTATGAAAATAGGGGTTCATGTATCTTTTCAAATTAGTGATTTTTTTTTCTGGATATATATCCAGGAGTGGAATTGCTGGATCATATAGTAATTTTAGTTTTTTGAGGAACCTTCATTTTGTTTTTCACAGTGGCTGCACCAATTTTCATTGCCCCTAACAGTGTATAAAAGTTTCCTTTTTTCTACGTCCTCCCCAACACTTGTTATTTGTGGTCATTTTGATGATACCCATTCTGACAAGTATGAGGTGATACCTCATTATTGTTTTGACTTGCATTTCTCTAATAATTAGCGGTATTGAGTATCTTTTCGTGTGCCTGTTGGCCATTTGTGTGTATTTGTTGAGAAAATGTGTTCTCCCATTTTTTTGATTGGGCTGTTTGTTTTTTTCTTTTTTTAATATTGAGTTCTGTGATTTCTTCATATATTTTGGATATTAACCCCTTGTCAGTCATATCATTTGCACATATTTTTTCCCATTCTGTAGGTTGTCTTTGATAATTTATTTTGAATATATCTTTTCTGTTAAAATTTTACCTATTTCTAAAGGAATGAAGGTCTCTATGTCTGAAATTTCTATTTTATGAGTACTTCAGCACCAACTGTTATAGGTATTTACTGTTCCTAAAGCTGCTTGTGTTTTGGTATTTGAAATCATGACATATACAGAAATAACATACTATTTTTGAAGTAAGAAATTTGGATTTTTTTCTTTTTAGCTTGTGGGATCTGTTAATTATATTGAAATTCTTTTCTAGGTCATCCATGCCTGGCTTATTGTTTCATCCCTGTTGTTGCTGTTCTTTTTCTCATTCATTTACTTGGGGTAAGTGGTGAAATATTTGGTCTGTTTTTCAGAAATTAACTGTTTGGACTCTATAACTGTCACTTAAAGAAATGTTCTTTGTTGATGAGTTATTCTCAAATTATTGTTTCCATGTATAGATCATACTTGGTATGAATACAACGTGTTAATATTATCAATCAGTTCAGTTCAGTTGCTCGGTCGTGTCTGACTCTTTGTGATCCCATGAACTGCAGCACACCAGGCCTCCCTGTCCATTACCAACTCCCAGAGTTTACTCAAACTCATGTCCATTGAGTTGGTGATGCCATCCAACCTTTTCATCCTCTGTCATCCCTTCTCCTCCTGCCCTCAATCTTTCCCAGCATCGGGGTCTTTTCAGATGAGTCAGCTCTTCGCATCAGAAGAGCTGATACGAAGCTCTGAAGTATTGGAGTTTCAGCTTCAGCATCAGTCCTTCCAATGAACACCCAGGACTGATCTCCTTTAGGATGGACTGGTTGGATCTCCTTGCAGTCCAAGGAACTCTCAAGAGTCTTCTCCAACACCAAAGTTCAAAAACATCAGTTCTTCGGTGCTCAGCTTTCTTTGTGGTCCAGCTCTCACATCCATACATGACTACTGGAAAACCATAGCCTTGACTAGACAGACCTTTGTTGGCAAAGTAATGTCTCTGCTTTTTAATATGCTGTCTAGGTTGGTCATAACTTTCCTTCCAAGGAGTAAGCGTCTTTTGATTTTATGGCTGCAGTCACCATAGGGATATGCTTTTGTTGATCCTTGTTTATAATAAGAACTTAAAGAACTCAACACTGCAATTAATCCTGTCTTCAGGAAAGTAAATTTACTATTTTCTTTAGTATAACTTATAAATCATAATATTATGCATTTCAAACATGTATAAACATAAATTAATTGATTTTCAAACTTTCATGTTTTTTTATCAGTCTTTTTTTCTTTCAACTGAAATCTTACATGGGAACTGCACATACCACATAGAAAAAAGTGGAGCTCTCTTTTGAGGAGAATGGAGAGGCTCAGAGATTTGCCCACTTGGTCTTTCTCTCAGCCCCAGTAGCAGAATGCAGGTCATTGCACTAGCTCTTAAATTAGGAACAGAAACATTAAAAGTAAAAAATAAACTGAAGAGTTAATTCTTTGGTAGAGGCAGGGAGAATGACCATAGACCAAAGAAAGAAATCAGTGTAAGAATCTCTATGAAATAGATGATTTTCTCAGAAAAAGCTAATTGCCAATACTGACCACTGAAGTGATAGAAAATCTAAGTAGAGCAAAGAGAAAAATACAGGAAGTTGTTGAAGAGGTTCTTATCCACCTTCAATAACAATAATACCAGGCTCAAATAATTACATAGGAAAATTCTATTAAACCTTTAAGGAATGGATAATTCTAATACTATTTTAACTGTTCCAGGACATAGGAAAAGCAGAAAAGCTTCCAGATTCTTCTTAAGAAGCCAGAGTAATATTTATACCAAAACCCCATAAATAATCAAGAAAAAGGAAACCTTAGACCACTCCTGTTTATTGATGCCAAAGGATAACTCAGTTCAGCTCAGTCACTCAGTCATGTCCGACGTTCTGCAACCCCAGCACGCCAGGCCTCCCTGTCCATTACCAACTCCCAGAGTTTACCCAGACTCATGTCCATTGAGTTGGTGATGCCATCCAACCATCTCATCCTCTGTCGTCCCCTTCTCCTCCTGCCCTCAATCTTTCCCAGCATCAGGGTCTTTTCCAGTGAGTCAGCTCTTTGCATCAGGTGGCCAAAGTATTGGGAGTTTCAACTTCAATATCAGTCCTTCCAGTGAACACTCTGGACTGATTTCCTTTAGGATGGACTGCTTGGATCTCCTTGCAGTCCAAGGGACTCTCAAGAGTCTTCTCCAGCACCACAGTTCAAAAGCATCAATTCTTCGGCGCTCAGATTTCTTTATGGTCCAACTCTCACATCCATACATGACTACTGGAAAAACCATAGCTTTGACTAGACGGACCTTTGTTGGCAAAGTAATGTCTCTGTTTTTTAATATGCTGTCTAGGTTGGTCATAACTTTTCTTCCAAGGAGCAAGTGTCTTTTAATTTCGTGGCAGCATTCACCATCTGCAGTGATTTTGGAGCCCAAAAAAATAAAATCTGTCACAGTTTCCATTGCTTCCCCATCTATTTTCCATGAATGATGGGACCAGATACCTTGATCATAGTTTTCTGGATGTTGAGCTTTAAGCCAACTTTTTCACTCTCCTCTTTCACTTTCATCAAGAGGCTCTTCAGTTCTTCTTCTCTTTCTGCCGTAAGGGTGGTGTCATCTGCATATCTGCGGTTATTGATATTTCTTCTGGCATTCTTGATTCCAGCTTGTGCTTCATCCAGCCCAGCGTTTCTCATGATATACTCTGCATAAAAAGCAGGGTGACAATATACAGCCTTGACGTACTTCTTTCGTGATTTGGAACCAATCTGTTGTTCCATGTCCAGTTCTAACTGTTACTTCTTTACCTGCATACAGACTTCTCAGGAGGCAAGGTCAGGTGGTCTGGTATTCCCATCTCTTGAAGAATTTTCCATAGTTAACGATAGTTAGGAATTTATTGGTTTTTGTTTTAAGTGCTGTGATATCTAAAATACTTACTGTGAATAGCTGCATTGTCCAGCTATTTCAACATTTGCTCTGAAATTTTTAAATGGAAAGATCATCTTTCTGCATAGTCTCCAGAATCTAAAGTTTGCACTTAAATGACTTCCTTCTTTCTCCTCAGTTACCTGTCTTCTATATTTGTATCTCTTTATTTTAAAATGGAGTTTCCTCCCACCAAATTAAAATAGTGTTTTTTTCATGATAAAAATGCTAAACATTCACTGTGAAAAAAAGAAAAGTTAAAAAATTTCAAACTCCCGTCATCTAAAGCTAAGTCCTGCATTTTTTCAGGAATTACTGTATTGATCTCTTGCTCTCTCTTCTCATACACTATTTCACATAAATGAGATCATGGGTTTTTTTTTCAGGCAGCAATATGTCATGCCTATATTCCATGTTTTGTGTATAAATATATGTATAAAATGCATATATTTAAATGGATGCACTAAATTTAATTTTATGAAAATAATATCGTATGTCCTAAGCTCCAAACTTTATTTTGCACATTTCATTTTTTTTCCAGTTTCAGATACTGCAAGGATTTCCTGAAGTACAGAATAGCATTTTAGGTGTTATATGGCCTTTTTTTTTTTTTTTCTTTTTAGTTTTTGTACTTATTTTTACAGCTGTGGCTGTGATACTTGTTTCCTGTTTTTATGAGTGATACAAATATCTGTTTAATTTTTTTCAGGGAAGTGTTTAAAACCTATAATGTTGCCATGGACTACATTTCGGTTGCACTTCTGATCTGGAATTTTGGTGTGGTGGGAATGATCGCCATTCATTGGAAAGGTCCACTGAGACTCCAGCAGGCATATCTCATTATGATCAGTGCCCTCATGGCCCTGGTATTTATCAAGTATCTCCCAGAATGGACCGCCTGGCTCATCTTGGCTGTGATTTCAGTATATGGTAAAACCCAAGACTGACATTTTGTTCATCACAGAAATACCTCCTGGTGTGTTTTCCTTCCTCTTCTAGTTATCTTGACTTAGGGAAAATAACAGTAATATCCCATAACTTTTTAGTAAATAATCAGCTAGCTATAATATCTTTTTCATACAAAGATTTCAAATCTTTGGAAGTTGAGTCCTTTAAAAATGTTTTATTATTGCCTCTAGTTTAACTCAGTGGTGAGTTAACGGAAGGATCCATAGACTTCTGGTTGTAAGACTTAGATTCAAATCCCACTGCTACCACTGACATAAATGACCTCAGGAGCCCTTTGGGATCAAATGAGTGAACAAACAGCGGTGGGAGTTTGTACCCTTTATGGACAGCAGCAGAGCTACATGTGATGGAGCCCACTGGAGAGCTGTGCTTTTCATGTCTTAATCCAGGCATCCTTGATCAAAGAATGGGATCCAAGTTAGCGGAACTTTAGGCAGCCATCCTATTTTGGCCTATTTGTGCGTTTTTACAGACCCTTGAGGCTTTGCCAGTAGTCTAGCAACCTGGTTCTGCCAGTGGTAACAACAGCAGTTACATATCCAAGGTTTCACTCTTTAGGCAGAGTAACTGAGACAATCTCTTGCTTCGCAGATACCAAAAATAGAAATCAAAGTTATACGTGTCTCTGTACTTATTAAATCCACAATGCCGACCTCAATTTGGAGTTCAGACATTGTTTCATGACTGTTTCACTTCTGAATATACAGTGTTGAGCTCTTGAACAAGGTGTGCAGAGTAACTTTCACCTCCCTTACAGTCTTATGATGTAGGCCTCACAGGGCACCATCATGACATACTAGAGCAAGTTAAAACTTAATAAATGAAACATCAGGGGTGAATCATCATAAAGAATCTGATTCCATTTTTGATATCTAAAAAAAAAAAGCCATTTCTGGTGACAGACTGGCTGGATTCAAATCCAGACTCTCTTACTCCTGTAATTTATTGGCTATGTTACTGCAGACACACCACACTCAACAGTGGAGTCTTAGTTATGAAGATTAAATTGAACAATGCATACAGTAAATGTATACAGTATCTACCAGTAAATATTAGCCGTTCCTCAAAAATATATAATCTTGTGAAGTAAGCAAGCTTGTTGCATTTGTTTTACTGCTAAAAGCCTGAAGTTTGTAGAGGTAAAGTATTTGCCAGAGTTTACACCATTTGATCTAGAATCTGAGTCCTAAGTCCCATATTCTTTCCACTACAATACACTGTTTCTCCCCATCAACCATCTGTTTCTTATATACATATACAAATTATCTCTACAGACCTTTGAGTTCCTCTGAAATAAGAGACTTTTGTATCTAATATTTAGAGTAATGATTCATAATTCCATTTTCATAAGATCTCAAGATATTTCAGTTGGTCAAAAAGATTGTTCTAAAGCTTTCAAAACAAAATTAAGTTAATTGCTCTAAAAATAAGGGTTTATCATTTAGCATTTCTATATGAAGAAGTGTGTTGAAAAACCAAGACAGTTACAGGACACTAAAGGTTGAAACAGGTTGAAAATCTCATAATTTCAGAGCATGGCAAATTCCCCATTTCTCATCCCAACAAATCAAAGTAGAAGCAGTGAGACTAGAGGTTTCTGTGAGTTTGTGTGTTTTATTACAGCAGTGGTAGTAGTGGTGTACAAGAAGATACGACCACTTGAAAGTGTGAGATTTATTACTTAAATGAGTCTGAATGATAGTGGTGTCAATGCAGGTGATCAAATCTTCCTTTACAGATTTACCTATATGTGTTTTACATTTTAAATATTTGAAGTTTTTTTCTGTGTTTCTATATTCTGAATTTTCTTTTTCTTTTCATATTCTGAATTTTCATGACATAGTAAATGTAAGAAAAAATTGCAGTTGAAGAAGAGAAAGTGGTAGCATCAAGAATAATTTATGCATAATTGCTTCCTTGTTTTGAGTTGCAGTTTTTGTAAGACACTTTTTAGCACCAGATGTATTCTGAGATCTAAATACTTGTGAAGTGCTTTTGACAGGAGAACTGGAGAAATGCTGAACATTCTCACACAGAGGTTTATTAGTTATTTTGTTTAAATTTACTGCCCTCTTATTTCAAGTATTCCTAAGTAGTACATATACTGTTTTCAGAAAAAGAGAGGATCCCACTCCTGATACCAAAAAAAAAGAAGAGGAGATGCATCTTTTCTACTCTGTTCCTCATATTTTGAAAAAGTTCAGTCATATCCTTTCTATTAAATCCCTCCTAAGGTGTAAAACCAGTTTGTGGTTCAGTTATGTTTAGTTTGGAAATAAGTGGCTTGTCCTTGTTTCTGCTTATTGGAAATTGACAACTGCTCTAGAATAATTCTGTCTTGTGATTATTTCTGCCTGTTTTCTTTCAAACTGGGAAGACTTATTCCTAGAACCCAAAATACACTGTAAACTAACCAAATAGCAAGCAAACCAAAAGCAAAGATCTCTGTGTGGTGTTGTGTATTTTGTTTAGATTGTCTCTGCCTCCCTCCCCCATCAGCTTACCTGCTGCTTATTTCATATTCATTCAATATCTTTCTTGTAGAAAAAAAATTAAACCTTTTCAATTGGTTAACTGTTCCCTAACACACTCATTTACAAGTTTACCCAATACATTTTTCAGATATCATTTCTATTTTTCTTTTTCTAGATTTAGTGGCTGTTTTGTGTCCAAAAGGCCCGCTTCGTATGCTGGTTGAAACAGCTCAGGAGAGAAATGAAACTCTCTTCCCAGCTCTTATTTACTCTTGTAAGTATTTCAGAATGATGTTAAATTAGTAAACAACTTAGAATTTATAAAGATTCAAATGCATGTAATTATGATCATCATCACGGTACTTTTTCTTACCTTAAATGCATAGCATTGGCGGGACACCTGCAGGTCTCTGTTTCCTTGCAAATTATTATCTTCTGACATTGATTGAAGAGAGTTTTCAGTGTGTGTGGAGACAGAAGAAATATTTAGAGATTGGGGAGCCAGTGTTCTTATTTAAAATCTTATTAGTTAACAAGTATTGAACATTTGTTATATACATATATTGTAGGTGGCTCTCACACTAATATGTTGAAAGAATCATACTGTTCCTTCAGTTTGGGTTGGCCTTTGTGTTTGGTTTGTTGTAGAGTCATACTCTTCCAAATCATTCAGTATGTATTTATTGGTCATTGACCTGATCTGCTCCCACAGAGCACTGTGGAGGATATAAAGATGGTTAAGATGCTTTGCTTTCCCTCAGAGTGCATTTGCTTACTTTTTTTTCTTTTTTTTGACTATGTCATGTGATTTGTAGGATCTTAGTTCCCTGACCAGGGATTGAACCCACAACCTTGGCAGTGAAAGCATGGATTCCTAACCATTGGACTGCCAGGATATTCCCTTGCTTACAATTTAGAAGTGAGATAAGACAAATAGATAAACAGCATTCAAGGCAGACTGTTATCAGATTCAGAAGGAATAGGAAGTGCAAAAAGAGCTCAAAACGGAAAATCTGAATGGAGAATCATGGAAGGCTTCATTGAAGAGATAGCATTTGGATTGACCCTCTTAAGAGTGGGTTGGATTTTGGCAAGCACAGATGGAAGAGTCAATTTCAAAAGTGGGCTTGTTGCAAAGAATGGCTTGGACGCAGGGATTGAACCCAGGTGTCCTGCATTGCAGGCAGATTCTTTACCAGCTGAGCCACAAGGGAAGCCCAAGAATACTGGAGTGGGTAGCCTATCCCTTCTCCAGCTGATCTTCCCAACCTAGGAATTGAACCCAGGTCTCCTGCATTGCAGGCGGATTCTTTACCAACTGAGCTACGAGGGAAGCCCCACACACTGGAAGTGTAAATGTGGGGCATCTTTTTCAAGTGTTCAAGTTGACTAGAACATGGAGTACAAAATGGGGAGAGTACTAGGAGATGAGTTTGGAAAGGCACTTCGGGCAAGATCCAGGATAACCTTGAGTGACTGGTTTAGATCTTTGTATCCTCTTCATGATAGCTTGGAAATCATAGAAGATTCTTGAAGAGTAATGTGATCAGAGCTATGCCCTTGTAAGCTTGCAGCTTTGGGCAAGATGAATGGGAGGGAGTGAGAACTGAGATACTGGGAAGCATAACTAAGTGAATATTGCCATGATCTAAATCAAAAATGATGAAAGTGAATTATGGAATGATGATGACAGTCAAGGGAAAGGCCTCAGAGTTTTTGGGGGTCGTTTCAGTTGTACTTAGTGAAGAGTGAGAGAAGTTTAAAGCCTTAAAGAAGAAGGATGAAGAAGAGAAGTTTTTCTTACTTGAGAAATCTGTGTAGTGTTGCCTGTGGCAGGATCTGTGAGCCATCCGGGGAGAAATTTCCATCATGAGTTTATAAATGAAGTACCAGTGCAGAGGAAAAGGTTGGTAATAGAGATGCAGAATTGAAGAACACCAATATAGCGGTAGTAGTTGCAGCTGTGGGATTAGATGAGTGATTCAGATAAAAGGAAAAGAGAAAAGGACACCAGGAATACATCTTTCTCAACTACTCTGTTTAGAGAGTGAGAAATGAAGAGAGAATAGTAAAGGAAAGAAGAAAATATCAGAAAATTGGGAAAATCAGCATTTTTCAGGCTTCCCAGGTGGTACTAGCTGTAAAGAACCCGCCTGCCAATGCAAGAGATGTAAGAGACGTGGATTTCTTCCTTGGGTTGGGAAGATCCCCTGGTGGAGGGCATGGCAACCCATTCCAGTATTCTTGCCTTGGAGAATCCCATGGACAGAGGAGCCTGGTGGGCTACAGTCCATGGGAGCGCAAAGAGTTGGACACGACTGAAGTGATTTAGCACACATACATGAAATGTCTGCATAGTTTTCTTATACAGTAAAGGGTATTTTTATTGATGGACATTTGGATCATTCCCATTGTAAACAGTACTTGCAGCGAACACTTAGAATTTGTGAATACTGTTGTATACATACATTTGTAGAAATGGAATTGCTAGGTCAAAGGATGTGTACCTTTAAATTTTTTGTTTCGGCTATACTCTATCCATGTTGCTTTGCGTGGGCTTTCTGTAGTTGTGGCGAGTGAGGGCTTACTCTCTAGCTGTGGTGGCTTCTCTTGTTGAGAAGTGCGGGCTCTAGGCTTCAGCAGTTGCAGCATACAGGCTCTAGAGCGTGGGCTTAGTAGTTGTGGCACATGGGTTTAGTTGCCCCGTGGCATGTGGAATCTTTTCTTGGACTAGGGATCAAACCTGTGTCTCCTGCATTGAAAGGTGGGTTCTTAACCACTGGACCACCAGGGGAAACCTGGAGGAAGGAAAAGGAAGATAGAAAAGCAGAAGATAGTGAGAAATAGAGAGAGATTAAGTTGGAAACACATGTTCAGTCAGTTCAGTTCAGTCACTCAGTCGTGTCCGACTCTTTGCGACCCCATGAATCGCAGCACTCCAGGCCTCCCTGTCCATCACCAACTCCCAGAGTTTACTCAAACTCGTGCTCAAGTCAGTGATGCCATCCAGCCATCTCATCCTCTGTCTTCCCCTTCTCCTCCTGCCCCCAATCCCTCCCAGCATCAGGGTCTTTTCCAATGAGTTAACTCTTCGCATGAGGTGGCCAAAGTACTGGAGTTTCACCTTCAGCATCAGTCCTTCCAATGTTAGTTGACCTCAAATCATTCTTGTGACCTTAATGTTAGGTCATTTGTGGGACGTGGAGAAGGTGGGAATTGTGCTTGTAGTAGGACAAGTTTGGTAAAGTTTTAGAACACCTTGTGTCTGAAATGCAAGGATCTTTCTCTTACCTTTTTTCCAGTATAAATGTATTACCACATTCTTACTGTGCTTTTCAGCCAAAAAGAACAGACAAGGCTTTGAGCATCAACATTTTCCTCTTAATGAGCAGTTGGGTGTAAGCTTCTTCTGTGTTATTCCTGGAAATTAAAATCTACTATATATATATTTGATATTTGTGCATGTATAATGTCACACCAAATGTTAATAGTGAATGCTAGGAATCTAGACTAAGGAATAGTATAAGTAAAAGTATAGAAGTATGTTCACTGAAGCAATGCTTCTGTTGAGAGATAAATGGAAGTAACTCATGTCTATCAAAAGGGAACACTTTCAAATAACTATGGTACATTCCTAAAATGGAGAGTTGTGCAGCCATTCCATTTGTACTCTGAAAAAAAGAAATCACTCTTACGTATTTCTGATTTTTTTTAAATGTCAAAGATTATATATTAATATATACAAAAAGCAAGATTTAAAACAATATATGCAATGTCGTATGGAAGGAGTGGGGGAAAGGACCAAATATGTATGGATGTGTGTGTGTAAAATCCCAGTGATGCATTTCAGAAGTGATGATACTAGTGTTTACCTCTGGAAAGTGGGATTTAGAGATTGAGACAGCCTTTACTTTCTACCTTATAGCTTTCACTTCTTATAGAGTCTTAATGCGATACCCATTATTTTTAAAAGTTAATTGTGATTGTCAAAGTGAAGGGATTGTGAGTTTTAAATGTTTTCTTAATTTTAGCAATTTGCATTGTTCTGCTATTGTATCTACTTGTTAGTACTGCAATAATGCTGTGTAACAAACCACCTCAAAATTTAGTCCCTCACAGATAATACTCACTCACCATCACCTGCAGATCAAATTTAGTGCCTTACAAATACTACTCATTCACCACCATCACCTGCCGATCAGTTGGCTTGGCTGATCTGACTTGGCCGTGGTAGTTCTGCTCCAGGTATTCCCCGTTCCTCCTTGGACCAGCAGTTTAGCTGAAGGTGATGTTCTTGTGTTTGGAGGAACAGGGGGGCAGCAGGCCTGTTAAGATCTAGGCTCGGTATTAGCACACTGTCTCCTCTGCCCATGTACCATTGGTTGAAGCAAGTCACATAGCTGAGCCCCTGGTTAGGAGGAAGAAAACTGCATTCCAGTCTCAGGCCGTGTAAGAGGGTGCAAGAGGGGTGAAGAGGTTGTTCAGTTAGCCATGACATTAAGCTTGTATGTTAATTTTATACTCAGAAAAAGGATTTACTCTCTTTTTTAAGAAATCATTCATATATAATATTTTTTAAAACTTGAATCTGTATAACAATTGATGCTGAGATATTTTTGCAGTAATTCCACATATATGGGAAAGCATAAGCATAAACCTTTAACTCCTGTGTAAATTAAATACGTTCAAGAAAGTGTTCTCATGAAGTACTGAATCTTTAGTGAGCATTTCATAAATCATTGACCTTGAGAGATTTTTTTTAAAGTAGAATATACAACAACAGCAATATTAATCAGTACTTTCCCCCTGAAATGGATGTATACATGAATATAAAAGTTTTACGTTGGTTCTCCCAGTTATTTGTTTTTTAAAAAAATACAATCCTTGTTGCATTTGTATACTCTTCCCCAGTTAAGGGTATTCAGTATGCTAAAGGATCTTACTCTCAGGAAACCTGAGCGTTTTTGTTTTCTGTGTCCCTCATTTGGACAGGAAAAGAGGCACACCTCTTTGGTAGCTTTTCAAAATGCAAAGGTAACAATTGCTTGAGGTTGACCATTATGTAGAATTTTTCTGTTTTCATATCACTTTGGGAAGTTTTTAGATTATGTTGAATTTTAATTTGCTTATTTTTCAGTTGATCTAAGATGTTTTTGTGTTAAGCCAAAAAAATTGGAAAGTGGGTTTTTAAGGTATTACTTTAGTAATATTAATTCATTCAACAGGTATATATTCTGCTCATGATGATTTACATCAGGGGTTAACAAACCTGCCCATAACCAAATCTGGCCTGTGGCCTGTTTTTGTATAGCCCTGTAAGCTAAGAATGGTTTTTACATCTTTAAAGAGTTAATGAAAAAGAAAAGAACAAAGAAGAATATGTGACAGAGGCCAGCTGTGACTCACAAGCAGAAAATGTTTACCATCTGGCCCTTTCCAGAAAAAGATTGCTGACCCCTGATTTCTATAGTTATACTGAGTATTGAAAGAATTTGCAGCTTTATCTTTCTATACTTGTATAAAGAAAGAAAATCAAATAAATACTTTCTGCCTTTGCTGCCAAGAAGGCTACTGAAATTTGTAAACCCTGGTGATCACCATGTTTCCTCTTCATTGGGTTTGAGTTTAGTTACAGTGAATTGCCTGCCTACCTGATATTGACTGATCCAAGTTATCCTATAATGAAACTTGTCTGATCTCAGAATTACAAAGCTATGGTGAATGAGTAAGTACAGCTATTACAGGATTTTCATCCTCTTTGGTTATGTATTTCTTTCATAAGTTATTCAAGAAGCCTTAGAGTATTAAGCAAATAGAATTATCGAATCAGTGACAAAATGCCAGAGAAACATGGATGCCAAGTGGATGGACTGAACTGAGTTTGCTGTGGGGTTTTGGTTTATGCTGTCACCCAGAATGGCACATGTCTTATATGTATTTTTATATTACTGTTGGTGGATCTTCAGGATAAATTCCCAAAAGTATTACTGCTGGATCAGAGGGTCAATGTACATGTAGTTTTGTTAGTGGTTACCAAATTCCCCTCCATGTTTCATCGTACCTGCAGTATGTAAGAGAAGCACCATTTTAGAGTATTCACATTGCCTCTTAATTAAAGTGTGATGAGGGGGGGTGTGTGTATATCTATATAAATATATTAATATATATGTGATTTTGTGGAAGGGACATAGAGAATAGAAGGCAATTGACTATCTCTCTATGTTTATTGCTTTTAACCTTTTTTCCTTATTCCCTGTGTATAACACAGTTTAGCATTATTGAAAATCCCCGAAGTGAGACAGAATATGAAGGGAACTTACTTGCATCTTTTGAATTATAATAATTCATTTGATGCTTTGTGAGCCTCTGTTTGTCCTCTAATTTAGTTCCAGTAAGTAATTTTCATCAGTGAATTCACACTATTTTAGGGTATTTAACTAGTCCAGTTGTTTCAGTGGAAAATGTTCAAGTTGAGGCTGTGATTTTAGAAAGGTCCAAAAACCTGTATCTTCAAACATGTAAAACTGATAACTCCTTGTCTGACAAGATCAGAGTAACTTAAACATAATTTGATTTGAGATGTGATGTTTATGCTAAGAAGATAAAATATTCCAGATAGATATGACTTTCTGGAGGAGAATAAGAATAATGACCTAGGCTGGGAGAATGAAAGGCCCACTGTGGACACTACAGAAGATGTTAAGGCAAACACAGGTTAGGAAGAGTTGTAGTTAGAAAGAGTTGAGAAATAACAGCCCAATATCAATAGTAAAAAAGAATTTTCCTTCTGGTTACTTTTCAGGGACTATAAGTGGTAATGAAAAGTTTTATTATAGCAGCTACAGTTTGAAAGCCACAATAAACATCCAGTTTCAGAATTTTTTCTTTGATCTGCTAAAATCAAAGAGAATGTTTTGTGATTTTTTAATATGAATTTACTTCTGGTTGTTTCTCTGATTTGTATGGAGAAATAATAGCCTGCTCTCTGTTGGTGAGCCTTCCTACTGTGCTCCCAGTGTTTACCTGGATTTTTGTCTTTCTCAACAGCAACAATGGTATGGTTGGTGAATATGGCAGAAGGAGACCCAGAAGCCCAAAGGAAGGTATCCAAAAACTCCAATTACAATGCACAAAGTAGGTGGCTTTTATTTTATTATTTCCTGATTTGGGGGATCATTGTCATCTTATGAGTTATGAAGCGATGATTTTAAGTACTTTCACTGCTCATGAACTGTTTTGAGAATCTCTTGGAAACTGTAGTAACACCCAGCAAACACAGATAAATACTTAAATTCACATGCTCCAAACCCGACAACTGGCCTAGGTTAAGAATTTCTGCCATATTAATACCAGTATGAAAATGTTCAAGTTGAGGCTATGATTTTAGAAAGGTCCAATAAGCACTATCTTCAAACGTGTAAAAATGAGAGCTCCTTGTCTGACAAGGTCAGGGTAACTTAAATATACTTTGATTTGAAATGTGATGTTTATGCTAAGAAAATAAAATATCCAGGTAGACATGACTTTCTGAAGGAGGATAAGAATAAGACCTAGAATAGGAGATTGAAAGCCTCACTTGTGGGCACTACGGAAGATGTTAAGGCAAACACAGGTTAGGAGGAGTTGTAGTTAGAAAGAGTTGAAGAATAACAGCCCGATATCAATAGTCAAAAAGAAAGAAAACTTTTTTTATTTTTTTAAGGAAAACAGAGGCAGAATAAAAGTTAGTGAAAGGGCTTTAATTGAGATGCTGTTCGTCAGGAAAGGGAGAATTCAGATTTTATAGATACAAGAAAACTGCTGATTTAGCATTTGAGTAACTGCGAGGAAGACACTTTCAACTGGGAATTAGTATTTGGGACCCAAAGATATTTGGCCCATTCTTCAGTGACCGAGGTAGTAAATCAGGCTGGGATTAGACCAGCTGTAGACCTGGTAGAGAAGTGAGAAGTGGAGGAAACAGTTGCTCCAGATCTGGTTATTGTGTTAACCTTGTTAAGCTAAAGACAGTGGAAAGATTGGTTACCTGTGAGTATATAAGTATATGAGTTTGAGTGTGTTTTTGTACATCAAGATTTTATTCTTTTGACAAACGTAGATTGAGTACCTGACCATGTGCCCAGTATTTTTTGGCACTGGGGATAGGGCACTGAATCAGGAGTCCTGTTCCTGTGGAGCTTATAGCCTATTTGGGGAGACACACATGTTCAACAGACAGTTCATTCAGTTTGTGATAAGCTCTACAAAGGAGAAGTGTAAGTTGCTATGAAGGTCTGTAGTGGAGGACTTTCATTTATTCTAGAAAGTCAGGAAGGCTTCCCTGAGGAAGTGATAATAGGAGATGGCCAGCTGAAGAGTGGAAGAGCTTTTCAGAAGGGGAAGCACCGAGGGCAGGGACCTTGAAAGGAGGAGGAGCTGGATGAACTCGCTCAGTGGGAGTGCACTTGGTGTTTTGGGTGGACGTTCTTCATTGTGTGGACTCCTCTCTGCACACCATACAGCATGTTTAACATGCCTGGCCCCTCACTCACCCACTAAATGCCAAGAGTGGCTTGGAGATTGCAGTAACCAAAAACTACCCCCATCCTAGTTATTTCCACCCACCCCATGTAAGGGAGGTGCTACCCCCAGTTGAAAACTAGCATGTTACAGGAACTAGAAGTTAGATTGGAACAAAGGGGTATAGGACTGTAAGAGGAAAAAATAATAGAACTCAGGGGTTGCCTGTACCTTACAAAAAAAAAAAAAAATCAAGATCCAGCACTCTGAGCATGCTGTTTATAATTAATTATGGAGGTAAATGCCAAAATAAACAATCAAAGGAGTTGGAAGTAGGATGGGAATCAGGAGTGAGGAAGGATAGGGCAGGGACTGCTGTTTTTATTTATAAATCTTATACTTTTATGATTTTATAAACAAGCTCAGAGAAGATTCAGGTTTTATGGAGACCTGGTTAAGGAAAAAATACAAATTAAAAATACAAAATTGCTAGAACCTCTCTCAAAAAAAAGTCCATGCAAGTAAGAAGTGTACAAGCTTCATTTATTCATGGTAGATGAATAAATTTGAACATCTATTAACTTGTATAAAAATAATATAAGTGAGAAAAAAATATCATCACCTTCACTTATATATTTTAATTATTTTTGACGTATGGAAGGTTCTGGAGATGATCATGTTATACTCACCGTTTTCAGTCAGACCTAGTCATGATAACAAAATGACTAGCCCATAAAAAAATTCCCTTGCTCCTTCCCATCCTCCACCCTGTAGTCGTGATCTGCTTTTATCACTGAAGCCAGTGGTGGGTGCCATCAGTTAGCGAGTGCCATCAGCTGCAAAGATCAGAGGAAATGTTCTTTCACGTGACCAAAAGTCTTGGCTCATTTTATGACTCGATAATTAAGAACTTGATAACAAAGAACTCGAGTTCTTTCCCACCTTCCTGCTCTGCCATCCTTAAATGTGCGCTTGGTCTTCAGCGCACTGCTCCTCATGGTCACAAGATGACAGCTGCAGTGCCAGGCATCATATCCAGATAAGACAACATCCTGGGGAAAGAGGGGCTGCTTGTGTCTTCCTTGAGTCTCATGAAGAGTGAACAAGTGTCCCCCACTCTCCAGCAGATTTTGCCTCACCACACATTGACTGGTACCAGCCCCACAGCCTTTTCATTGGGAAGAGGAAGGGTAGGGTGACCACACTTAGCTCGGACTGAACAGAATTTACCACCAGAGTCATGGGTGAGAGGTGGGAACCCAAATAAATCACAACTCTGCCATCAGGAAATAAGGGGGGAAATGGCTGCTGTGGAAGCAACCAGCGGGCAATGAAATAACCCTTGATTTGTTGTTTAAGGGCCAGCCAACTCACCTAGTTACAGTGACAGGTAAATGACTGTTCCCGTGTAATTTTCTTAAAGGTATAGAGTATTTTCTAAGTTTTACATCTGCAATATCCACTTTTTCTTGAAGGCACAGAAAGTGAGTCACAAGACCCAGTGACAGAGAGTGATGATGGTGGCTTCAGCGAAGAGTGGGAAGCCCAGAGGGACAGTCGCCTGGGGCCTCATCACTCTACAGCTGAGTCGCGATCTGCCGTGCAGGACCTTTCCAGCAGCATCCTGGCCAGTGAGGACCCAGAGGAAAGTATGTGCCTTTCTCTACACTGGCAAGTCATGAGAGTCCTGGGTTTTTAAGGTGCTACAGTATCATACTTTTCCCAAAATAATATGAGTCAGAGTATTCCAGTCTTAATTCTGAATAGCAGTGCAGTTTTTACTGAGAAGTAACAATAGTTGCTGCTTTTCTCATAGTTAAATTTATTAATGGACCAAATTCTACCCCTCAGATTTTTTTAAATTATCCCTTAATAATTTGATAATATCCTTGACCTTTGGCATTGATTTTGTAAGGTAAAAAAATTTCTTAAAATATTATTCCAGTAAAACTTAAGGTGTACAAAAATGTCATTAATATATTTTGTTCTTTGCTGCACAGAGACCTATGAATTTAAATGTTTTGCCCTTTTACATTGTTTCTACCCTTTGTTGGTAAGCACTGCATTTTATTAATTTTGAAGAAAATCAAAGGGGTTTAGGTTCTGTGCAGTAATGTAAAAGTTTGTTCAGTGTCTAAGGTGTGTAATTGCTCAGATTCAGGTCAGCACTCAGGGCTTCTTAGGATATTAGCCAAGAGAGCCCACTGGTTAGGGCTCAGTCACCTCCTCACTTGGTCTTAGAGAGGTGATTTACTGAATAAGAAGAGATTAGCACATTTCCCACGGAGAAGGCAATGGCACCCCACTCCAGTACTCTCGCCTGGAAAATCCCATGGATGGAAGAGCCTGGTAGGCTACAGTCCATGGGGTCGCAAAGAGTCAGACAAGACTGAGCAACTTCACTTTCACTTTTCACTTTCCTGCATTGGAGAAGGAAATGGCAACCCACTCCAGTGTTCTTGCCTGGAGAATCCCAGGGATGGGGTCGCACAGAGTCGGACACGACTGAAGTGACTTAGCAGCAGCAGCACATTTCCCAACCAAGTTACCTCAGTGTTTTCGTTTTCACAGACGTGAAACTCTTGATTAAAACATACAGAAGTATTAAGTAGTTTGAAAGAAACAGACACCTAGATTCCTTCTCTAGTCACTATTAATTGTGACCTTGACATTATCCTTTAGTTTGAGCAGAACACTTCTTACAGCTCACCCTTAGTCTTTTACCTGGGTTAGAACCTGGGCAGATCTGTGACTGGGGTGCTGGGTAAGTTTTCCAGATGTTAGAGTCAACTGCAGCCTGCACCTTTCACACTCCTGGGAAACCAGATGCAATCACCTCCTCTTTTAGCCAGGCTTGGACTTACCTTTGCTGGTATTGTCTCTGCCTGCAGAGTTACCATTGTAATTAGGTTACCTCTTCTGTTCTATTCTGTCTCTTCTTTTCTCAATGATGCTTAGAAAGAAAAGAAGTCAGCAATATAGCTGTTGAGCATGACAGCAGTGGGATTCTCTCATGACTGCTTTTCCTACTTAAAGGGTCTCTTGATCATCTGCATCCTTCATCAGTAACTTTTTCTTTTTAAAGGAAAACCCAAAAATTGTCCCTTCCAACTGCAGATCAATGTTTTGTTTATCTGGGACCAATATAAAATAATAATTGACATTCTTTTCTCTTCTAAGCATCCAGCACACACATAACCATCTCTTCATTACTGGTTTATTGTGCACAAGTAAACCAGACTTGTGGTTACTTACAGAAAAGTCTCAGTTTACAATAGAATTTGATATGTATGTAAAGACATGTGTGTCTTCCAAAACAGCCTTATCAAAATTTAATCAGAAAACTGAACACAGAGTTTTAAATTAGAAATGTAAAACATGTTTATTCAGTGGTCTGCATTGGAAGTGCAGAGTAGAGTCCTAACCACTGGACCACCTAGGAATTCTCCTGAGTCTATTTTAATTTTGCTAATAAAATATACCTGCATTTCTCTGTCCATTAAAATGAATTCTATGAAGCATAACTATAGCATTTGCCATAATATTATTATTATTTAAACAAACATAAGCCAGTATATGAAAAGTGAGGTGATAATTTTAAGCTTGATCAGTACATTGTTTTTGTTTATTTTTTGGTAAACCTCTGTTGAGACATAACATATTATACTATTCACCCATTTAAAGAGATGAAAGTGAAAGTTACTCAGCTGTGTCCAACTCTTTATGACCCCCTGGACTATACAGTCCATGGAATTCTCCAGGCCAGAATACTGGAGTGGGTAATGTTTCCCTTCTCTAGGGGATCTTCCCAACCCAGGAATTGAACCCAGGTTTCCCACACTGCAGGCAGATTCTTTACCAGCTTCTTCACAGGGGAAGCCCTACATTTAAAGTGATGGCCTTAGTATATTCACAGAATTATTCAGCCATCACCACAGTTGACTTTAGAACATTGTCAATACCCCATAAAGAAACCTTACAATCTTTACTATTACCTCATCAATCCCTCTCATCCTGCCTTCCCCTTTAAAAGTGTGCAATGCAGTGGTTTTTATTATAGTTGTATAGCCATTACCACAAGCTAATGTTGGAACATGTTCATCACCTCAGAAAGAAACCCTGTACTCATTACTCCTGTCCCCCCAAAAAACCAACTAATGTACTGTCATAATAGATTTGCCTTTTCTGGACATTTCAGCTAAATGGAATCACCCAGTATATGGTTCTTTGTACTGATTTCTTTCCCTTAGCATAATATTTTCAAGGTTTATGTTATAGTATGTGCTAGTACTTGGTTTCTTTCTTTTTTTTTTTACTCACTTTTGGCTGTGCTGGGCCTTTGTTGCTGCTTGAGCTTTTCTCTAGACATGGTGCGAGGGCTTCGCATCTCAGTGGCTTCTCTCATTGCGGAGCACCGGCTGTAGCACGAGGGCTCAGTAGTCACGGCTCCCAAGCTCTGGAGCACAGGCTCAGTGGTTGTGGTGCACAGGCTTAGTTGCTCCACAGCATGTGGAATCTTCACAGATCAGGGATCAAACCCATGTCTCCTGCATTGGCAGGCAGATTCTTCACCCCTCAGCCACCAGGGAAACCCCCTCATTTCTTTTTGTAGCCAAATAATATTCCATTGTAAGGATATGTCACATTTATCATCCATTCATCAGTTAATGGACATATAGATTTTTTCCATTTCGAGCTATTAGGCATATTGTTGCTATGAATGTTCATGTACCTGTCTGTATGGACATATGTTTTTATTTCTCTTAGGTTTATATCTACAAATAGAATGCTGAGTCATATGATAACTGTATATTTAACCTTTTGAGGAACTACCAGATGGTTTTCCAAAGTGTCTGCACCATTTTGCATTCCCACTAGCACTGTTTGTATGTTCCAGTTCTTACACATCTTCACTGACACTTTTTATTATCTGTCTTTTGATTATAATCATTCTAGTGAGTGTAAAGTGGTATCTCATCAGGGTTTTGATTTGCATTTTTCTGATGACTAATAATGTTGAGTATCTTTTTGTGTGCTAAAATTTTTATTTATTTGTATTTGGCTGTGCTGGGTCTGTGTTGCTGCACTTGGGCTTTCTCTGGTTGCAGCGAGCAGGAGTACTGCACAGTGCTGCTGTGCCATGCAGACTTCTCATTGCAATGGCTTCTCTTGTTGCGGAGCATGGGCCCAGTTGCCCTATGGCATGTGGGATCCTGCCAGAGCAGGGATTGAACCCATGTCCTCTGTATTTGCAGGCATATTCTTTAACCACCAGGGAAGTCTATCATCTGTGTTATTTTTTAAAATTTATTTCTATAGCTTTTTTTTTTCCTTTCCTGAAGAACTTAGTTTCAGTTGGTTTCTTATAGCACTATTTGGAATCAAGTCTTTTTAAGGCTATCATTTGTTTAGCCACTGTGTGTGCCAAGAACTTTTCTGTATTATTTTTAACTCTGATACCAACCTTGTGAAATAGCTCTGTAATCCCCATCTTGTAGCTGAAGAATTTGAGGGTTAAAGAATGAGTTGGGCTCTTTTGCACACTTGAAACTGGTAGAAGTATTCATCATTCTGGGAAGGTTAGCAAGTTAAAGGATACCTGACTCTCTGATTCAGAGCATTGAATTTCATGGGTCATATGGTTTATTTTTGCACTCAGGAAGACTTCACTCTGGCTTCCACAACTTAAAAAGAAATGCTGGCTACTCAGTAAGATCTTACTAACCAGAACCCTGCTCCTTTCTCACATACATCTAGAGCAGATCCTGCTTCTCAGGGCTCTCAACTCCTGTCTTCCAGAAGTAACTCAGACAACAAAGCTTTAAGACCAGGATCAAACTTCAGTTGGCAATAGTTACTTAACAACCAGAAAGGTAAAAGCAAGTTGTAAAGCTTAATGGGTTACTGTTGAGCCTCCAGTCAAAGAGTATTTTTGAATCCATAGTTTTGAAAAGAACTTAATAAGTTAAAAATAATGTTTGGCAATAGAAAATCTAGGACCTCTGCATTTCTGTGTAAGTTTTAGGAATCAGCTTGTTAATTTCTATAAACTGATCCTAAAATTTATTTGGAAATGTAAAGAACTTAGAATATCCAAAATAATTTTGAAAGAGAAGAAAGAAGGTGGTGGACTTAAGCAGTCTGATTTCAATCAAAGCTTACCCTGAAACCACAGCAATCAAGACAGGCACAAGGATAAACGTATAAATCAATGAAACAAAACTGAAAGTCCAGAAGTAAATCTATATTTATGGCCAATGATTTTTTTTTAACAAAGGTGCTAAAATAATTCAGTGGCAAAGGGATATAATCTTTTCAACACAATCAAAAGTTAACCCAAAATGTGTCATAAACTGAAATGTAAATGGTAAAACTATAAAACTTATAGAAGAAAACAAAAACTTCATGACCTTGGGTTGGGCAAAGAGTTCATTAATATAACAGTGATACATAGAAGAAAAAAATTGATAGGTTGGACCTTGTCAAAATTTAAAACTTCAAACGATACCATTTAGAGAAGAGATATTTAGGGAATTCCCTGGCAGTGGTTAGAGCTCTGTGCTTTCACTGGTGAGGAGGAGGGTTCGATCCCTGGTTGGGGAACTGCAATCCCACAAGCCACATGGCACAGCCAAAAAGGAGAGAGAAGAGGTATCTATAGACTCATGTTCATAGCACTATTCACAATGACCATGAGATGGAAGCAACCTAAGTGTCCATTGACAGATGAATGGATAAACAAAATGTGGTGTATACATACAGTGAGGTATTATTCAACTTCTAAAAGAAAGGAAAATCTAACACATGCTACAGTGTGGATGAACCAAAGCATTATGCTAAGTGAAATAAACCAGTCACAGTAAGATGAATACTGTATGATTCCACTTAAATGAAGTACCTCTAGTAGTCAGACTCAGAGATGGAAAGTGAAATGGTGGTTTCCGGGGTCTGGAGGGAGAGAGGAAGGAGGATTTACTTAATGGGTACAGAGTTTCACTTCTGCAAAATGAAGAGTTCTGTGGGTGGATGGTGGTGATGGTAGCACAACAGTGTGAAGGTACTTAATGCCACTGAACTGTGTATTTAACCACATTTAAAAAAAAAAAAAGTGTTAACAAAAGCAAAGGGGGACACAGGTTCAATCCCTGGTTCAGAAAGATCCCATATGCTGAGTGCTGCAGCTACTAAAGCCTGTACTCCTAGAACCTGCGCTCTGCAACAAGAGAGGCCACCACAATGAGAAGCCCAAGCACCACAGCAAAGAGTAGCCCTGCCTTTCCGCACTAGAGAAAGCCTGTATGCAGCAACGAAGACCCAGCACAGCCAAAAATAAATTCTAGGGGGACTTCCCTGGTGGTCCAGTGGCTAAGACCCCATGCTCCCAGTGCAGGGGGGCCAGGTTCAATCCCTGGCCAGGGAACTAGATCCCATGTGCTCTGACTAAGACCCAGCAAGGCCAAATAAAAATAAGTAAGTTGTTTTTTTTTTTAATTAAAATTTTTTAAAAAAGGAAAAAGAGCCACATACTGAGAGACAATATTTGCAAATCCTGTTAAAGAATTTGTAGTTAGAATATAAAGAGAATTCTTACAACTCAATAATAGGAAGATATTTTATTTATTTATTTATTTTTTAGGAAGATATTTTAAAAATAGAGTAATACTTTTAATAAACATTTCCTCAAAGGAGAAATATAATGGCTAATAAACACATGAAAAGATACTCAACATCATGATTCAGAATGGCTTTAATCAAAAAGACAATAACACCAAGTGCCCGTGAGGACTGAAGAAACCGGAAGCACTGTCACTGCTGGTGGGAATGCACAGATGCAGCCGTCGGGGAGGACAACTTGGCAGCTTATCAAAAGGCTGAATGTTAGTCTACCATAGAACCCAGCAGATCCACTCCTAGGAATCTCCCCAGTGGGAATGAAAGCAGTCTGCCCACACAAAGAGGTGTGCACTGATGTTCATAGCAGCGTTATTCATAATAGCCAAAAACGGAACACAATCTAAATGTTCATCAACTGGTTGATGGATAAACAAAATATAGTATACCCATACAATGAAAAGCTATTCATCAGTGAAAAGGAACAAACTATATAGATACATGCCAAAATCATGGATAAACTTCAGAAATATTATGTTAATACAGATGGCCAACAAGCACATGAAAAGGTGTTCAACATCACTCATTGTTAGAGAAATGCAAATCAAAACTACAGTGAGGTTTCACCTCACACCAGTCAGAATGACCATCATCAAAAAGTCTACAAATAATAAATTCTGGAGAGGATGTGGAGAAAAGGGAACCTTCCTGAACTGTTGGTGGGAATGTAAATTGTTACAGCCACTATGTAAGAATAGTATGGAGGTTCCTTAAAAAACTAGAGTTACTGTATGATTCTGCATATATCTGGAAAAGACAGAAACTCTAATTCAAAAAAGATACATATACCCTGATGTTTATAGCACTATTTACAGTAGTCCAGACATGGAAGCAACCTAAATGTCCATTGACAGGTGAATGTATAAAGATGATGTGGTACGTATATACATGATGGAATATATTCAGCCATAGAAAAGAATGAAATAATGCCATTTGCAGCAACTTGGATGGACCTAGAGATTATCATATTAAGTGAAGTAAGTCAGAGAATGATAAATATCATGTGATATCACTTATATGTGAAATCTAAAAAAATGATACAAATGGGCTTATTAACAACAGAAATAGACTCACAGACATAGAAAACAAACTTGGTTACCAAAGGGGAACCTGTGGGGTAGGGAATAATTTAGGAGTTTGGGGTTAACAGATATATAGTATTATATATAAAATAGGTAAACAAGAACCTACTATATAGCCCAGGAAGCTATATTCAGTACCTTGTGATAACCTGTAATGAAACATAATCTGAAATATATATATATATATATATATATAACTGAACCACCTTGTACACCTGAAACTAACACAACATTGTACATCAGTTCAGTTCAGTTGCTCAGTTGTATCCGACTCTTTGCAACCCCATGGACTGCAGTATGCTAGGCTTCTCTGTCCATCACCAACTCCCGGAGATTGCTCAAACTTATCTCCATTGAGTCAATGATACCATCCAAGCATCTCACCCTGTCACCCCTTTCTCCTCCTCCCTTCAGTCTTTCCCACCATCAGGGTCTTTTCCAATGAGTCAGTTCTTCGCATTAGGTGGCCAAAGTATTGGAGCTTCAGCATCAGTCCTTCCAAATGAATATTCAGGACTGATTTCCTTTAGGATGGACTGGTTGGATTTCCTTGCAGTCCAAGGGGCTCTCAAGAGTCTTCCCTAACACTACTGTTCAAAAGCATCAGTTCTTCAGTGCTCAGCTTTCTTTATGGTCCAACTGTCACATCTATTTCCATACATGACCACTGGAAAAACCATAGCTTTGACTAGACAGACCTTTGTCAGCAAAGTAATGTCTCTGCTTTTTAATATGCTGTCTAGGTTGATCATAACTTTTCTTCCAAGGAGCAAGCATTTTTATATTTCACAGCTACATTCACCATCTGTAGTGATTTTGGAGCCCAAGAAAATAAAGTCTGTCACTGTTTCCATTGTTTCCCCATCTATTTGCTATGAAGTGATGGGACCGGATGCCATGATCTTGGTTTTTTGAATGTCACTGTACTTCAATTTTTTTTAATTATATTAAATGAAAGAAGCCAGTCACAAAAAACTTCATATTATGAGTCCATTTCTATGTGTCTAGAAAAGTCAGATTTATAGAGTTAGAAATCACAGATCAGTTGCTTAAAGCTTGAAACACAAGTATCTAAGTGGGGTAATGGAAATGTAGATTATGGTAATGGTTGCACAATTCCAAGTTTTTTACAGTCATTGAATTGGTGCATTTTATGAAGTAAATTATACCTCAGTGAAACTGTTTTTCAAATAAAAGGAGATGATATCTATCTCATAGGGCTTCTTGTGAGGATTTATTGGAACAAGTGCCAGGAATAAACTCGGTAACAATAGATGACAGTTGTTATCTACTGTCATTATTTTTTATATAGAACAGCAGCATCTACTGTTAAGAACCCAGAGTCAGCCCTATAGCATCTGAACCTCCTGTTACAGAAAACAAACAAAAAAAACGGGAAAACCTAATTAAAGCCTAACTTTGTATAATATCATTTACTGACTTCTTATTCAGTGTGGGATGGGGAGGGAGCACATTTTTAAATTGTGAAGTCATAGCAAAGAGTGACAAACTTTTATATTCATAATCTTTCTGTTTTAGGGGGAGTAAAACTTGGATTAGGAGATTTCATTTTCTACAGTGTTCTGGTTGGTAAAGCTTCTGCAACAGCCAGTGGAGACTGGAACACAACCATAGCCTGTTTTGTAGCCATATTAATTGTAAGTATACATTGATTAAAACCTGTTAGAATTCCTTATCTCAAAACTCTGATTAAAAGGCAGTTCTTTTAACCCCAGCTTGGCTGAGTGTTCCAGTCACCTGGGGGGCTTTTTAAAAACACAAATAATTGGACCTCACCTGAATAGTTTCTCCATGTGGCCACACATTGAAATCACCTGGGAGCTTTTAAAACAGTGCTTCTCTGCCCTGAGATATTATTTAATTTGTTTTAATTGTGTATTTTTTTTAAGTTCCCCCAGGAAATTCTGGTAAGCACCTCTGATTAGGAACCACTGCTTCAAGCCTGGCAATATAAATAATTATGTAGAGAATTAGATCAGTCTTAAAGGGGTAAGCAGTTCCTCACTTAGTGTGGGTTTGGTGGCAGTTTTGCATTTAACGCCACAACCTGCAGCATACTGTGTCCTTTGGGCAGGCAATATGAGGCAAGAAAAGCTAACATAGTGCCTGATCACACATAGATTTTGCTTATAGAGTCACAATGTGAGCCTAAAGCTTTCAGAACTACAATTTTAAGTAACTCATAAGATATTTCTTACTGTTATTTTTGCTGGAGGTATGATGTCTCATGTATTATGTGAAGTTGGATGAGAGGTTAGATGAGAGCCTTTACATATTATTTATTTTGTGATTATATTTGTGATTTATCTTGGTCATGGGACCAGTTAGAATTTTCATTTATTCCTCTTTTGAGGTTAGTTTTCTGGATGTGTCTTAGTGTCTCAGTTAACTAGGGTGAAAAATGGGCTGTATTATATAGCTGCTCTGTGTTTACAAGAAAACACTATACACTTCATAAACAAACATTTGTTGGTTTATTCCATGAGCACCTCTTTGCCCCCAGGCAGCATAAAGAATGTTCTTCACCTCTGGGATTTTTAGCTAGCCAAACTAAACCTACAGTAGCCAAGTCAATATTTTAGATAGCAATTTCAGTATTGTTAATTTGTTTTAAAAAATCATTTCGCTTATTTTCAGATTCTATCCCGTACCTAGAATTAGGGGATGTAATATCAATAATATATGGATAATAATCTCTATTGTGAAGAAAAATGTTTCCAGATTCAATGAAAAAACTTCTGTTCTAAAATTTAACCTCAGGATTGTATATTCAATTAACTAAATTAAGACCAAGATTTGTGATTGAGTTGATTTGCACAGAATACTTGCATAATTATGTCTGCATTTGTGTCTCTTCCCCCCTTCTCCACAGGGTTTGTGCCTTACATTATTGCTCCTTGCCATTTTCAAGAAAGCATTACCAGCTCTTCCAGTCTCTATCACCTTTGGGCTTATTTTCTACTTTGCCACAGATTATCTTGTTCAGCCCTTTATGGACCAGTTAGCATTCCATCAGTTTTATATCTAGCATATTTACAGTTAGAATCTCATGGATTTTTCGCCTTTGACTATAATAAAATCTGGGGAGGACAAAGGTGATTTTCCGGTGTCCACATCTAACAAAATCAAGATTCCCAGCTGGACTTTTTGCAGCTTCCTTCCAAGTCTTCCTGACCACCTGCACTATTGGGCGTTGGAAGGAGGTTTCTACAGAAAACGGTTTTGAACACGTCATTGTGAACTAAGTCCCTCAATGCAGAAACTACCAAATTTGAGGGACAAGGACAAGGCAAAGCCATGGGCCAAAAAGTTGCTGTGCTCCCACCAGCAGGTTGACCTGTGGTCATAGGTGGACTTTACCAACGCTGCAGATTCTCAGGACTACCATTACCAGGAGGTTAAATGAAATGGTTTAAACCAAACAGGACTGTTCATCTTAAGCTACATATTGAAAATCAACCTAATAAATCTATTGAATTCTGAACCTTTTCGGGAGATACCATAAGGAGAGCAGGCACCAGCAGCAAAATGGAAAGATGGGAAGGGACTCAAACTTTCAGACTTTTTGCTGCAGACTTACCATTTTTAAATAAGACTTTTTTTCACCTGAGTCAAGTCAGAGGTATAGGTTGATTTTGACACTTCTTCTCAAGCACTGAAGCTCATTATCTGTGGCTGCCATTTCTTCCCAAGGCCAGTCTGAACTTATTTGAGGTTGCTTTATCTTAAAAGTCTTAACCTCAGGTTCAAATTCAGTAATTTCTGGAAATAATGGGACTGTAACTCAACAATTCCCTATCACCCTTAGGTAAATTCTGGATTTCCACCAAATTCCTAATTTGTAGGCATATTGGGAGGTTCACTTGCCCCCAGGTTCCTCCCTCCTTCCCTCTCTCTCCCTTTACTCCCCTCACGAGCACTTCTCCTGTACGGTGAATAAGACAGCCCTGTTGTGGTAGCAGATGGTCCAGTTGTTATAGGATTTTGCTCTTTGTGTGGTGCAAAGAATGTGTCATGAATCAGTGCTCTCACCCCTGCTGTCATGATTTCTTCAATAGCAAAATACAGTGTGTGCCCAAAGACAGTAGAATTAAAGAAGAGTAAAATTGCTCGTGAAGCACTTTCTGTCCTGAATTTTTCCTTTCTTTTTTTTTTTTTTAAACTACAACCCATTGTCTCTTGACAGTAGGCCGGAATTTGAGCCAATAGCCAAAAGCCAGTGGTTTATAAAGTTTATGACTCAGTTGTATCTGTACACAGCTTGGAGAACACCGTTATTTCACTTGGTGAGCTGAGGGAGAACCGAGAGTCTGGAGGAGAAGCAGCTGCCAAGAGAAGAGAGGAGAGGCCCCCAGTAGCCAGTGGGACAAAATGAGGTCATGTCCTGTGAAGGAGGGGACCCGAGCGATTCCTCAAGAAACTCACAACGGGTGTTCTGTATTTCCCCTTCTGCATTACCTTTGGTTTCAATGTACCTCTGTGAGAACTGGGCCTCCGAGTTCAGCCCCTAAGCAGTTCAGTTGGAAAATGAACAGAAATAGAGTCACCAGCTGTGGGCACACAGCATCTCTGGAGGAAGTTTGCCAGGCACACCCCTTCTCCAACCAGAGTAAGCCCTCAGCCATGGTGGCCACACCCCTTCTCCAACCACAGCCAGCCCTCAGCCATGGTGGCCACACTGAGCATTTGTGTGGAACGTGGTTTCCCCCTGAGGCCAAAGAGAGGCCAACTCCCCCTCAGCTTCCTGCTGCTTTCTCTCCAGCTCTCATTTGATCTGCTTTGGGTTCTCCATGGAGTTTAGAGGATTTGTTTTTTGTTGTGGAATATTTCTAATAAGAAATTAACTTCAGGAGTAATGTGCCAGTACTACCCTGTGTGTAAAAACTCTCCTGGGCTGTGAGAACTGTAGGGAAAATTACAGCTCTGCCAAGAAAGTTGGGGCTCGAGAGTAGATTTTGTCATCTTTTTTTTTCCTTTAGCTCCCTTTCCCCAAGATGCCATTTTTCTCCTCAGATATGTGGCAACATGGATATTCTCTTCTAGGAAGACACATGATTCAACAAGGTACAGCAAAGCCACCCGAACTCCAATATGTGACTTGAAGCAGTCTTGAAGGGAGCCCTGAGTAGTTTATTTTGTGTGAGGCTCCCAAATGTGCTATGCCTTTCATGAAGGGTTTACCTTTGAAGAGGATGTGTGGGGTGTGTGATTGTGTTCAGATCCGTCCTGTGTGTTTACTGGCCTATGTAGAAAGATTGCAGTGGACCTGTCACTTTCCGAAAGACAGAGCCACATCTCAGCATAGAGAGAACATCATCTTATTTCTTCTAATCACCAGTCTTAGACACAGAACTTTTCCTTTGAACCTTCTTCTTAAAGTCAAGTCAGTTTCTGCAATGTCAAAATACTAGTCTTCCACCATGAAAAATAGATTGTCACCAGAGAAAACAGCAATTCCACTGAGGATGTGCCCTCATACAGGGGCAAGGGGTGCTGTGGCGCCAGAACCATTGACAAAGCATGACCAGCTCAGCTGACCTGCTTTAAAAGAGGGGGAGGGGAGGAGGAAGAATGGAGCCCACTGATGTCTGCGTCTGACTGGCCTCCAAGAATGTTTACATACAGAATGTTGCCGTAAATCAGCCTGTGGAAATTCCAACAATATTTGGGGGATCTGTAGAGCTTTTTTTCAAAGAATTGCTTGCTTCTGTGTTTCTGATTCTCACCAGGTAAGCGGGTAGTCCTTGGATCACAACACTCACTGTAAATGACTAAACTTTGATCAGAAAAAGAATCTTTCCGAGCAACGTGGAAGAAAAGCACAAGTGAACAATTTATTGATTGCATTACAGAAGCAACAACTGATGGGGTGGTTTTTTTTACTTTTAAATTCCTGGATCTCCATTTTTTCAAGTGTTCCTTGGTTTTAAAAACCTTTATGTTACAAACAGATAACGTGTTTGGTCCTTGGCTTTTATTTGGCCTCAGCAGTCTTTACAGGTGTAGTTTTAATCATAATTTGTAGAAGGTAAGACAAGTTAAACCAGCATGTAAGATCTCACAGGGTCAGACATCTCAAGGAAGCCTCTGATACTGACCCCCCCAGGGCCTGGCCTTTCATGTCCGCCTGTTTATGATCTAGCCCTAAAAAAAATGAGCTCAGAAAACACTCAGAAGGGTTTTGTTCAATGTCTTCCCTGTTCTTGGCATGGCACTGGGGTCTAAGGAAGCAAAAATGACTCAAATGTATCCTCAGTGTAGCTGCAGTCTCTTGTTTTCTGGTGAACACCATTTTAGCTTCTCTAAAATACTGTCTACTTGTCAAAACCATTTTTCATGATTACTGTTATTGAGGGCTTAAAAATGTATGTAACAGAGGTGACCTGATTCTTCCAGAAACCAGTCCTTTCAGTAAAGTATTCCTTTTTCTCTAAATTTGCTTTTGGGTAGTATAAAAATCCGTCTCATCTTTTGTTTTCAACACCAAGGGAATCCTGAATGTAGCAGTTTGAGAAGAGACTTGATTTTAAAAGTCCCCAGACACAGGAGACTTAAAAACAGTGGTTTCAGCTCTTCACAACCCTTGTTGAAGTTGCAGGGCAAGGTGTCCCAACAAGACCACTGTAGCGCTCACATTCCAGATTGTCTGGATGGCAATGTCAGAACCACCCTCTCTGCATGGAACACGTCAGATCTGTGCATTGAAGGTCATCGGCCTGGTGCAGAAGTCGAATGTCAAAGCCATTTCCCAGGACCTCTGACAGCTTCAGCATCTCCCTGAGGAAGAAGTTGGGTCCACCATGGACCCTGGAATCTGGTGTTAGCACTTCAGCCTGGCCTGTGTAGCAGGAAAGACTTCCCAGGAGGCAGTTTTCCTTTAAAAACAAATAAGCATTGCGACAAGACAGCTTCCTAGTCAACTGTGCAGAGCAGTGTGTACAGGACTGTCGTGTTCACGCAGTCAAAGCGCTGGGTGAGTTTCTGTAGGATCATTGACCCTCACCTGTTCATTGCCTGGCTTCTGCTTCTCCAGACCCTGTTTTGTACATGATTCAGACAGACTGCGAATACATCTTTTCAAAGTAACTTTCAAATTCTTGGTAAGATATAATTTTGATAGATGATTGCAGATTTTCCTGTTATTTATCAAATTAATAAAGACTGCATGACTCCAGGTGTGCTCGTCTCCTTACATGAAAGTATTTTCACGGTAACTGTGAGAACTCTTCCGCCATTATCAGGAAACAGAAGCACACATGCATTGTTTCCATCCTTCACTCGTAAATACGTCATACGGACTATAGCAGGTCACACCTCGGAAGGGTACTATATTAAATCTATTTATGAGAAGTCTTAATTATTTTTAACATGTTTCTGAAAAAAAATTTTTTTTTGAAAAATATTTTTTCCAGAAAATATCTAACTCAATGTAAAGACTGTCAAGATTACTTACAGGATGTATGTTGTACAGTGCAGAGATTTTATAAGCCAGAGTATTACCTTTAAAAAATTATTACCTGGGTCACATGATAGAAAAAAAAACATTTCTTCTATTGACCTCGTATAGCGTATATTGTCCAATCACTCTACAAAGCCTTTTATTTCTACACAGAGACTTCTTTACAGAATGTTGGGAATTACTGGTCAAAAATAAGTCTGTGGCAGAAAAAAAAAAAGCCTATTGTCTTCAGAAGAAGCAGAGAAGGGGTGGATGAGTTCCTGGGTATATTGGCCAAGGGCATCAAAGCAAAGAAGGTGTTCTTAACCCTCCTATGGTAATCAAGCATCACTTGGTTTTCTGAATCTTCTAGGCAGTGTCACTAGAGCCTGCCAGAGAAGTGTCATGATTTGTCCTCATCAGCTGAGAGGTATCTGATTCTTAGGGCCCCTGACAATGGTGCTCTTGCTGAAAAGGAAGAATGACCCCAGCAGATTAAGAAGCAGGAGTAATGAGGCTGGATTTCCTTCATCACTAGGTAAGTACCACAGCTTTTTGTGGCCCAACCCCTCTCCCTGGGAATTCTGCAT